TTGGCGAGATGAAAATCTGTTTTTAGAAGGGGGAAGAATTATCATAAGTGGGTCAGTTACCTTTGTTCTTTCATTAGAAAAGTTTAAAATTGCATCTGTATTTTATGTTGATTGGCTTAGTGATCCACTAGATGCTGTGATATTTTCTGAAGTAGGTACAGCGGGATAAAAAAAGGATCATATTTATTTAAAAAGGATCATATGATTTACGTTGCCCTATTAAGCAAGCAAACGAAAAATATTTTTCATGATTTATGCTAAAAATATGTTGAGGAAAAGGAAGTAATCTAGTTGGTAGTTGATTCCATTCACCAATCAGACAACAGCAACTTACCAAATCAATCATTTCAGATCCACGCAGTTTTTCTCCTACAAACGATGAAAAATTAAAACATGCACAATTCGGATTGCAAATCATCTAGCGCTCCCCTCCCTTTCCCTCCTGACTATACCGACTCCAATCACAAGCGAGCAATGCCGGCGACAGTGACTCCAACTGCTACTATTCCCCCCCCCCCCCCCACACACCACAACGAACGGCCTTTCGAAAAATTTCCACTATTTCACACTCGTCCTCCCGCGCACACAAAGGCAATTAATTATACTACCTCAAACTCTAGTCTCCGTGACGAACGGAACGGAAGTTTCCCCCCTTTCACGTTTGCCATTCCATGCCGTATTTCAAGGTCATTCATGGACACAAGGAGCGCATATCACCATTTCGCAAATACAATCAGATACTACTGTCCTCGTACCAAAACTGAAGTGAGCTGAACCCTCATCGATCCTCCAGTAACGAATACCGAAATACCGAGAAGAGACGCATATTTTTGTTACAAAGTAGCGAATACCGAAAAGCACCCGTTTCAGTACAGAAGTAACGAATACCGAAAAGTACCCGTTTCGGTACAGAAGTAACGAATACCGAAAAGTACCCATTTCGGTACAGAAGTAACAAATACCAAAAAGTACCGATTTCAATACTGAAGTAATGGGTACTTGGATGTACCGATTTTCAGTACCCGTTACAAAATACCCAGTTCGGTAGTACCGACTCATCACTAGGTAAAACCAAATTGAGCTTTGTTCAGCAGTTTTTTATTATGCAAGAACCAGGTAATTCTATTAACAAACAGCTTTTCTAGGCATTTTCCTAAACTGGGAAGAAGACTAATGCATCTCAAATTATCTAAATGCGGGATATGAGGACCACTATTCTTAGGGATTAAAATGACATTCACAGTTTTCCAGCAAGGAGGAAATGAACCAAGCCTCAGACAAGTATTGAAGATTTTGGAGAATAAATTTGGAAACATTCTATGAACTTGCTTCAAAATTTCGTTTGAAATAGAATCAAGACCAGGAACTTTATTGCATTTAAGGTTTTCTATAACACTATTAATTTCTGACATAGTAAATGGAAGATCTGGATTAGCAACATAATTTAACGAAGCCTTCAGCCCTAATCACTCTATGAAACAAATTATCCATGCTAAAATGGTCCATGAGAAAGCTTCTGTTAAGAACCTCATTAGCAGTTTCTTCAAGCAACTTTGTACAATTACCAGATGGGAGATAAATTCCACTGACTTCAATTCCTTTCATAAAATTTTTCTTTACACCATTCGTATATATTTTTTTCCAAACATTCCTTTCATTTGTATTCATTAGAAATTCTCTCCAAGACTTAAACTTTGCATCCTGGAGCTTTAAGCTGTAACTATTTCTTAAGTGAAGATATTTTTGTTTATATAACTCTCTAAGAGTTACGATTTCGTTGAAACCTACGTCTAACAGCGTTAACCTGCTTTCTCATACATTCGATTTCAGTCCACCAAGGTACCTTATGAACTCTTGACTTTTTTTGAGGCATGGAAGCCTTGGATGCGTTATAGAGAATTGGAGACAAATTTTTGTAGTCGAGAGTTTAATGCATGCTTATCCGTACAGCACTCAATAAACAGCGACAACTTATCAATCGACTGCTTACATGTATTGTAAAAAATATTCCAGTTAGCTTTCTTTACACTGAGACAATCTTGCTCTTAAGAGTTTCCAATGGAAATAAGTCTGTGATATAGCTAATACATCTAATATATAACAGTTCAGCTTACAATTAAGAAACTGGAAAAAAAAAAAAAAAATTTGTGAGAACAAAAGATTAAAAACTGACAAATTTACTATTAGAAGCAAAGTAAACAGAACACATATTTAATAGAAGAGAGCTACAGTTATACACAGATGCAATGGTAAAGTAAGATTATTACTGGTGTGCTACTGCCATAGACTTTAGACTCAGATAATATGAAAGTACATAATTTATTATTAATTTGAAAATAAAATTGTCTATTCTCAGTATCTGACTAAGCATTAAAATTGCATATCAATAAATGAAAGTACATTGTCATACTCTCACAAAAGCCCTTAGCATAAAACAAAGCAATCAACAAACCGCAATCTCTTTACACAAATTAAGGGATTTACATTAACTTCCTTCATCTTTAACAAGCATACCATGAAGTACAATAAATATATCATGCAAAGGGATGGCAAAGAAAAAAAAATAATAAATAAATGCTTGCCTTCTTTCCACTTTCCCCCCTCTCTCTATTAAGCCCATAATACTAGTAATTTAAAATAAGCATTACTCTCATTTGATTGCTTTTAATTTCACAATCATCTTTATTTCACAAAGTTATTTTCCTCCCAATTTTTAAAGTCTGCAGGAAATGAAACGCCCCACTGACCAGAAGGAACTATTACAAAAAAGATCATTCAATTTTCATAAACTTTTTACATTCAAAATGTATTTTACAATTTCTAGGTTTACTACCTTTTCACGACTTTTAATTAGCAAATCTTAATGTCCATTCCTATCTTTTAATAACTAGGAATCATAATTAATTCTGTTAAACTAAATTCAGCTATATAATTAAAAGACAAGTCAGTCATTTAGAAAAAAATAAACTTTTAATGTTAGATTTAAATCAGAGTAGGGTTTTCAGCGCCCAGGGACAACTGAAGATTTCGCGCCCCCTACTGCTTGCCAAGGATGGAAAACATTTAATTCTAAAATGTCGTAACATCAGTTTGGCACCCCTTGGATTCTGCGCCCGGGGACAGATGTTCCCCCTTGCCCCCCTCTAGCTACGCCCCTGATTTAAATTAATTGCATTTTCAAATGCATCATAAAACTCCAACTACATCTGACATTACAGGAATATTTTTCATTTGTGAGTTTTTGTAGCTTTGTTCCAACAGCTACAGGAACATTACCTAAAGCACTAATTCCCTCCCCCATTACGTTATTTAGAGGAACTTTATTCATCCTCATAAGTTTTTCCAGCAGCAACTACAGTATCAATCTCCAATTTCAATTCATCAAGAATTCAGCCTCTCCCCCCCCAAATTAACTGCTGACTGATTTTCAAGACCTTGATAATCTGCAATACCAGTATCTTATGTATTTTAGTACAAATACAAGTTAAACCAGTTATACAACATTTTCTCTTATTCTTCATCAAAGCTCCCATATTTTTGACAAATATGCTCAAAGAGATTGATACACTTGAAACAAAATTTGGAAGTAAATTTGATGCTTCTGTGAACAAACCTTTTAACCTAAAGGCCTTCTTTTCTTGGTGGATGGGGCAGAAAAATCAAGGGGACGCGTCCTAAATTTTACAAGCAATAATCACTCTGACACCAAAAAGATACAAAGGTTGGCATTTAAAAAAAAATAAAAAAGGGGGGGAGGTTCCCCCCTTTTTTTAAATAAAAATTTGAATTTTTTAATAAAAATTACACACACCCACACATATATATATATATATATTATTTAAAAAAAAAAAAAAAAACCTCTAAACCTAAACATTCGACCAATGTTCATCAAGCTTCAACATCTTACATTTTCTGGCAAACATTTTATTTTCTTTTCCATCACCATCTGACAACCAACTCATGGCAGCCTGAGTTTGGCTCTCATGCTGATGCCACAAACAAGTTCCTTAACACTGCTAAATTAATATCATGGAATTGGGAAAAACCCAAATCTAACCTTATTTTTCAGTGATCACATATTTTACAATTTGGTATGAGAGTTCTTAAAATCATGCATCAACATTTCTAGAATCAGTTTAGTTTTCTTCCCAAGCAGACATACACTCATACTTGGAATAACTAATGCAGCAATCACAACATTATAATATTAGAATGTTTAGAGTAAGAGTAAAATTCAAATAAAAATATCTAGAAAAATGACAAAAAAAAATGAAAATACAGAACTCTCTTGTGACAACTACCTACTAAACAGACACTTATAAAATTATCAATATTTCTGATAGAATCTACCAATTGGAAATGAATGTTCTCTCTCTCTCTCTACAGCAGCCACCTCTACAGAAAACCAAAACCACCTGGAATTATCAGTGATAACCCTAGAAAGGGTTCATTGCTAATGTCTTAGAGAAGTTCACTATACATTTTTTGTCATCATCATCATTTCAATGTAATCAATTTGTGATTCACTTCTAATTTCAATGCAATCAGTTTATGACATCTTAGAGTAAGTTCATCTATAATCATCAACAAAAAGAACAGCCAAAATTTTGAATTACAGAGTAACTTTTCATAACAACAAGCTCTGAAAAAGTGACCAGGATTTTTTAGAAAATAAATAAACATGAGTACTGAACATTACCTCTCAAAGGTAACAACCCCCATAAATGATCAAAATCATCCAGAAGAAGCATGGTGATCTTACAATCTTACCATACTTAGTTATACTTAAACTGTAAATATAATTTTAACAGCATTTTTAGTGTATTTAATCTGAAAAGCTGTGCCTTTACATTCAGTTCTAAAAGATAAAATAATATCTTTTTTCAATGTATTCAATCAATAATGCTATTCATGAAAGATACATAAAAATATACTTAAAATACACTTGAAAATAAACACATGAAGGATACTTAAAAATGAGAAAAATGATAAAAAGTTACCTTTAGCATTCAACTTTGCCTCTAATTCCTCTTTTTCTGATATTAATTCTACCACTTTATTTTCTTCCAAATGAAGCGAATATTGAAGATCATGAATTTTTTTATCTTTACAGAATATAATTGCCTATTTAAAGAATTTGTCTCAAAATATGAATTATAACAGTTAAAAGCAATATCAAATAAGCATCGTATAACAGGGTTAGTAGCAACATTTTAGTTAAAAAATAAGCACCCATATGTAATTTTCAAGCACATCTTTTAAGAAAAATAATAAGCACCTGTTTAATTACATATAATATACACAACTGCATAACTTAAAAGAAAACTGAGATTTGACTGTAATTTAAAATATGAGAAATTCAGTACTTATTAAGAGAGAATAAGCATTAATAATCATAGGAAACAATTACAATTACTTTTTAATTTTAAATAACAGTTCAATTTACACAACTAGTTTACAATAAAAGGGGGAGGAAGACTATGCAAAACTAAACTATATTAAAAGATTTAATAATGAAATTTCAGTTAAAAATAAGGAAAATAAATAATAATAAACCATATTAACCCTCTCAGCGGTACAGGATTTTAGATCCATCATGAAGACCGGTATTCAAACAGCATTTATTAATTGAATTTGTATAATTTCTTATTTTAATCTTTATTTTTATAAACTTACATTCATTAAGATGATATTTACATTATTAAAGAAAGTAAGAAAACAAAATATGTTGAATTATAAGCTAATATATGTCAAGCAGCAAAACTTCTGATGACCGGATAAAGCCAGTCATAACATTCAGAGGGTTAAAAAAAGAAATAAAAAAGAAGATTTATACTTATTAATGAATAATATTGATTTTATTTTTTATTTTCCTTTTGCCTCTTTTCATTAATGTCTGAATCCAGTTTTCTTAACAGAGTTTGTTTTCCACATATATTTTTAACATTTCATTGGATTTTTAAAAGATTTAAGTCTTTCGTAACTTCAGCCTTTTCAGCAAGTTTGTTTGCTTTATTTTCAAGCATTTTAACTCCTCTTCTTTCCTTTAAGAGAGATCAATTCATCTGGTGATTCTGCTTTCCTTTCTTATCTCGAATAATTTTTTCCTGCTCTTCCAAATATAAGCTATACTGTGTATGAGCTTACGAAGCTGTCGCTCTTATCTCTTTTGTAACTGATATACAGTCAAAAGTCGTTAATCCGGATTCGTCGGGACTTCGTCGTTTCCGGATTACAGATCATCAGCTTAAATCTGGGTAAGATGGCATGCAGAAATTATAAAATTAAAAATATGAAACCGTAATTTATGAAAGAAAGAACAATTATGATCTAAAGGGTATCAAAATTTACCAAAAAAAAACCTTAATATTTATTTGTTTACTTTATTAAACATGTCTTTCAATGTAAGTTGTTTCGTTTTATGTGATAATACTTTCTCTTTAATTCTGTAAACGGACATAATTTCTTGTTCAGTTACAAAGTTCCGCTGTTCAAGTCCTATAATTGCTGTGTCGAGAATACCAACTAATTTGTCAATCGAAATTTTTTCTTGTTTTCAATAACCTCTGTGTCACTTTCTTCACTATCGGAAGCGAATTATAATGAGGAGGAATTTGATTTAAATCATATCAAAAACGTAGTACATCGAGATGAAATACTACATTTGGTAAGGAATTATAAGCAAAATAAAATAAAAACATCTGCCCTGAAGATAAGGATAGTGCTGACAGATCAACTTCCAATTCATTGCGTGCTGTGGCGTTCCCCCCCCCCCAGCCGCAGAGCAGCATGAAATTGATAAACAGATTTCAGAATGGTTAGATAAACAAAGGATACACCATTTTTTGCAGCAATTCCACTTTTTGAGTTTTTGTCTCAGAGTTCCCGGATAATTTCGTATGGTTCTTAAGGATTGTTTTTCTGTAAAAACATACCGTTCAGCCTGCCCATTACTAGATGGTTTAAATGGTGCTGTGGTTTTGTTTCTGATTCTGTTATTCTGTAAAAAGATCTTAAACTCATGTGAAGTGAACTGTGGTCCATTATCACCCACTAACAATATCGCTAATCTGAATCATGCAAAAAAGTCCTGTAAACATACTATTGTTTTGGAAGTCGAGCTTGATTTTATTGAATAGGTTTCTAGCCATTTTAAGTGAGCATCTACGATTATCAAAAGCACATGCTCAAAACTCGTTCCTGCATAATCGATGTGAATATGTTCATTTGAGACTCAGGTACTCCCAATGATGAACTTTTACCTTCGGAGGATCCATTTTACATTTGCACATTCAGAACAGTTTTTGGAAGTATTTTTGATATCCTTATATATACCATTCCAAAACACGCAAAATCTCGCACTGCTTTCATGTTTACGGTCCCTAAGTGTCTGTGGTGCAAATCATCAAACCATTTTCACAGTATCATTTTGGAATACAAATACGTTGAACATACATTATACAGCCATCTTTGAGACCGTACTCCATCTCTCTTCCTTTCAATTCACCACCGCTCTGAAGTAGCAGAGAATCGAATTCTGCATCAATTTCAGTTTCTTTAGCCAAATCTCTGGCCGTAACTGGAAGAGTATCCAGCCGCTATAATTGAAAAACTGTTACATCATCTTGAACAGACAGTTGCTCTGAGTTTGTTGGTAATCGTGATAGATAATCTGCATTACCATGCTTGTTTGTTTTGTCAAACTGGAATGACTTTAAGGCCAAGGCATAGTGCCGAAGTCTTGTTGATGCCAAAATCGACACGCCTTTCTTTGAGCCAAAAATTGCAGTAAGAGGTTTATGATCTGTAATCAAAGAATATTTCCCGCCTTTGCCTTTTAAGTACAGAAAAAATTTTTTAGTTCCCCAGATGATTGGCGATGCTTCTTTATTTGTTTAAGAATATTTTTTTCTCTGTTTCAGTCAGTGTTCTAGAAGCATATGCAACTGGCTTTTCTGTTCCATCAAAATCTTTGTGAGAAGGTACCTCACCTCACCCCACTGGTAATGCATCAGTTGCCAACGTTAAGGGTAATTTTGGATTATAATGCATACAATTCTTTTCATAATGCATCAAAACTTTCTGCAAATACAATTCTTTTTTAATGTTTAGAAAAGCCTCTTGACAATCCATTTTGAATTTTTCTTAGTTGGTATAATAGATTTGCCATTGTCGCTAAATCTGGACAAAATTTTCCATAAAAATTAACCAATCCCAAAAAACTTTGAATTTCCTGGACATTTCTGCATCTTGGGACTTTTGCAATCACTGATATTTTTTCATCAGTTTTATGCAAACCATTAGCGTCCATTTTATGACCTAAAAATTGTATTTCATCCTGAAAAAAAAATTGCTTCAAATTTAATTGTAGTCCATGAGTTTTACATTTTTCGAAGAAATTTTTTTAAAGTATTTAGACGTGCCTTTTCATTTAGACCCTGTTATTGGTGCATCATCCCTGAAGACTTTACACCCTTCCATTCCTTGGAATAGTGTGTCAATGTAATGTTGCCGGCACTGCATTTAGCCCAAACAATTATATAATCCTTTCTGCGTGTTTATTATTACAATTTTTTAGTCTCAAGATGGACTTTTACTTGTAGGTAAGCATGTTTAAAGTCAATTTTTGAAAAAATGCTTTCCCCCGCTCAAACTTTAAAATACTTCCTCAATGGTCGTGGCTGCGTAACAATATTTGGGTTTACTGTCACTGAATGGCCAGCACACAGTCCTATAGAGCCGTCCGGCTTAACTACTGGTAATACCGGAATAGCCCATTCTGATGTTTCAACCTTTTTGTTATACCTTCTTATCCAAGCTATCAATTTCATCAACTATCCGGCCTTTTAACCTTTTGAGGACAGGGCTTTGGTAGCAGTAAAAGCTACCAAAGGACGGGGAAATCTTGAACCGGATGCTTTCCCCCCTTTAAGAAATCTCCTATTTGCAACAAAGATTTTTGTGTGTAGTTTAATGGCTTCTCAGAGGTTTGCATGTATGTCGCAAAAGGAAGAGCTTTGAAAGAGATAAGTGGTTAAAACCCCACGGATGTCAAATTTGACATTTCACCCCACTTTTCAGCCTGAAAATGGGGGAAAAAGACATGGCCAATAAAGTATACAACCCCGTCTTTTCAAAGAGAGGACTCTATGGCCACTGTAATGGCCATACCTGTCTTCAAAAGGTTAATGCAAATGGTATCCATCTAGCTCTACAAAACTTTTTCGAAACATTTCGCTTTAATTCAAGCTGAACCTCATAATTTTTTATCTCCTAATTTTCCATCCAAAATCCCCTTATACTGTTCCAATAATTTATTCAAACTACATTTTTGAGAGATAGAATTTGACTTTATTGAAGTCCAATCTAAATTAATAACAGAAAGCCATTCTCAACCAAATATTGTATCAAGGTTTTCTTTAACAATGTAAAGATTTAAGTTTTTATTTTGACCTTTATATTCTACATTAACTGTAGCAATTCCTAAAGGTAATAATACCTTTAACGTTATATGTTTTAAACCTAAACTTGTACTTCGAATTTTCTTTTCCGAAATGTGGCAGAAATATTTTAATCTCATACCGATACTGCACTTCCTGTATTCATTTCCATAGCTACCGGTTTTCCTTCCATGTTCACTTGGACCATTATGGGTAGTTTCTTACTTTTCACCTCAGTGGAATTTATGCTGTTTATAGGAACTGCATTTTTATTTCCCACATCTAGTTGCTTTTGCTTGGCTTTCTTTTAACACTTTTTCAATGTGTCCGACTTTCTTACAAAATCTGCAGATTTACAAGATAAATTTACAAGCATTTCTATCATGGTCAGTCCCCATACATCGCAAACACATTTTACCTTTAGCATTCTTAACTCAGAAGTTTAGTTTTTTAATCTTTTGTTTTCAAGCGACTGACTGAGATTTTCTTTTATTCTTGCCACTAAACTCCTTAATTTCTATTGGTTTACAAATTATTTAATTTGCACATTTTAATGCTTTTTGGCACTGCCAAAGCTATTTTTTAAAGAGTCATTTAAACTGATATTATGCTGATCGAAACGAAACGAAAATTCTATCTAATATAGCCCTATCTCTTAGAACATTCATATATATGTCTTGCAAC